TATCACATGTCACAATTAGTTTCTGAGTAAATTATGATCATGTTTGTCACACTAAGCATGATATTCTGCTGGTTCAACTGCACAACTGCTAATAGTACTGATTTATCATCGGCATGTAGAGTAATTTATTCTTTTTTTTTTTTTTTTTTGATAGGCAGAGTTAGGCAATGAGAGAGAGAGAGAAAGGTCTTCCTTCCGTTGATTCACTCCCCAAATGGCTGCTACGGCCAGCGCGCTGCACTGATCCGTAGCCAGGAGCCAGGTGCTTCCTCCTGGTCTCCCATGCGGGTGCAGGGCCCAAGCACTTGGGCCATCCTCCACTGGGCCCAAGTGGAGGCCACAGCAGAGAGCTGGACTGGAAGTGGAGCAACCGGGACAGAACCGGTGCCCCGACTGGGACTAGAACCCAGAGTAACAGCGCTGCAGGTGGAGGATTAGCCTAGTGAGCCATGGCGCTGGCCAGAGTAATTTATTCTAAGATCCAGGGAAAATAGTAAATTCTGCCTAACCCTTCCAACAAGTTTTGAAGTTTTCACAAGTAGAAATATATGAAAGAAAATTTTCATTCTGTTCTGAGATGTTCTATCTTGCACTGTGTTAGCCAAGAAATCTGAGGTAATGATTGAGAACAATAGTTTAGATTTGGGAATCCGGGGACTACCATTATCTTTAATGAGATTTATGCAGGAACTGGTGGGGGAGGTAGTCACTGATCATAAGATCAGTGCAGAGTTTCTCATTTCCAAAGTGGGTCAAAATGGTTGTGAGTTTTTTTTTTTAATAGAAACTGCCGTTGCTACACAGTATCTGTCCTACATTATATAAAATGCTGTTGCTCAATAAAGGAGTCATTTTATGCATATCCACTAACTAAAGTGAGAAAAGTAATCTTATAGAAGAGCCATGTGTTGTCTTCAGAAACTGAATATTGAGGTAGCATGACGCCATGGGGTATGTGGGATATGAAATCACATAGAAGTTGGTTCAGTCTGGAGTGTGTCATTCTTCTCACAGTTGTTCAGTTCTTATCACTATGTTCCCTCTGTGTGTAGGGATGACAAGAGCATTTCTCTTTCTGAACTAATGTAAGAAATAAAAATACAATGAATAATGCCTTTAGGACAATTTTGAGTAAAAAGTAAAATGCTCAAAAATTCCTAATAGAAATTTTTATCACTATATAGTGATTATCCTGCCACTAGATATATTTAAAAAAGTTTATTTGGGGCTGGTGTTGCAGTATAGCAGGTAAAGCCACCACCTGTGATGCTGGCATCCCTTATGGGCACTGGTTCATATCCTGGTTGCTCCATTTCTGATTCAGTTCCCTGCTAATGGCCTAGGAGAAGCAGCAGAGATGACCCAAGTATTTGGGGTCCTGCCATCCACATGGGAGACCTAGATGAAGCCCCTGGTTTCTTGCTTTGGCCTGGCCCAGCCTAGGCTGTTGGGGCCATTTGGGTAGTAAACAATGGATAGAAGATCTATCTCTGTCTGTCACTCTTTCAAATAAGCAAATGAATCTTAAAAAAAAAAACAGTAACAGAGAGAGAGGAAAAGACACACAGACATAGACACACATACACACACACAGAGAGAGAGAGAGAGAGAGAGAGAGAGAGAGAAAGAGACTTCCATCTGTGTCTTCCCTCTGCTGGTTCACTCCCCAAATGCCTGGAATAGCCTGGGCTGGGCTAAGCTGAAGGCAAGAACTACGACTCCATCCACATATCACATGGGTGGCAGGTACCCAAATATTTGGGCCATCATTTGCTGCTTTCTCAGGTACGTTAACCAGGGAGCTTGTTTGGAATTGGAGTAACCGGGACTCAAAATGGTACTCCAATATGGGATGTAGGTATCCTGGACAGTGGCTTAACATGTTGTGCTGTAACACCAGCCCCTGTCACTAAGGTATTTACAGTATTTAGGGAATGACTGCTGCGTTGTGAAGCACTGGGTTAAGTCTCTTTCTGTAACACTGGCATTCCATATGGGTGCTGACTACTGCCTGGGCTGCTCTACTTCTGATCCAGCTCCTTGCTAATGTGCCTGGGAAAGCATCAGAAGATGGCCCAAGTGCTTGGGTCCCCGCCACCAACATGAGAGACCTGGATGAAGCTCCTGGCTTCTGGCTTTGCCTGGCACAGTCCTGGCCTTTGTGACCATTTAGGAAGTAAACCAGCTGATGGGCGATCTCTCTGTCTATCCCTTTTCCTCTGTAACACTGCCTTTCAAATAAATAAATAAATCTTTTTTTTAACTTTTATTTAATGAATATAAATTTCCAAAGTACGATTTATGGATTACAATGGCTTCCCCCCCATACCGTCCCTCCCACCCACAACCCTCCCCTTGCCCACTCCCTCTCCCCTTCCATTCACATCAAGATTCATTTTCGATTATCTTAATATACAGAAGATCAGCTTAGTATACCTTAAGTAAGGATTTCAACAGTTTGCTCCCACACAGAAACATAAAGTGAAAAATAATAGATGATTTTTTTTAAATGATGATGAAATCAGATCAGACCTATTGTCATGTTTAATCCCAGTGAGAGTCAAGTTGGGAGTTGATAATTTCTTTTTTTTTTTTTTTTTACAGAGGATCAGTTTAGTATACATTAAGTAAAGATTTCAACAGTTTGCACCCCCATAGAAACACAAAGTGAAATATACTGTTTGAGTACTCGTTATAGCATTAAGCCTCAATGTACAGCACATTAAGGACAGAGATCCTACATGAGGAGTAAGTGCACAGTGACTCCTGTTGTTGACTTTACCAATTGACACTCCTGTCTATGGCATCAGTAATCTCCCTATGCTCCAGTCATGAGTTTCCAAGGCTATGGAAGCCCTCTGAGTTCTCCAACTCTTATCTTGTTTAGACAAGGTCATAGTCAAAGTGGAGGTTCTCTCCTCCCTTCAGAGAAAGGTACCTCCTTCTTTGAAGACCTGTTCTTTCCACTGGGATCTCACTCACAGAGATCTTTTTGCCAGAGTGTCTTGGCTTTCCATGCCTGAAATACTCTCATGGGCTTTTCAGCCAGATCCAAATGCCTTTAGGGCTGATTCTGAGGCCAGAGTGCTATTTAGGACATCTGCCATTCTATGAGTCTGCTGAGTATCTCACTTCCCATGTTGGATCACTCTCCCCTTTGTTTATTCTATCGGTTAGTGTTAGCAGGTACAAGACTTGTTTATGTGCTCCCTTTGACTCTTAGTGCTTTCATTATGATCAATTGTGAACTGAAATTGATCACTTGGAATAGTGAGATGGCATTGGTACATGCCACCTTGATGGGATTGAATTGGAATCCCCTGGTATGTTTCTAACTCTACCATTTGGGGCAAGTCAGCTTGAGCATTTCCCAAATTATACATCTCTTCCCTCTCTTATTCCCACTCTTATGTTTAACAGGGATCACATTTCAGTTAATTTTCAACACTTAAGAATAACTGTGTATTAATTACAGAATTAAACCAGTCATATTAAGTAGAACAGACAAAAAAACTACTAAGAGGGATAATGTATTAAGTTGTTCATTAACAGTCAGGGCTATGCTGATCAAGTCACCATTTCCCATAGTGTCCATTTCACTTCAGGAGGTTTCTTTTTTGGTGTTCAGTCAGTTGTCACCGATCAGGGAGAACATATGGTATTTGTCCCTTTGGGACTGGCTTACTTCACTCAGCATGATGTGTTCCAGATTCCTCCATTTTGTTGCAAATGACTGGATTTCGTTGTTTCTTATTGCGGTATAGTATTCTAAAGAATACATATCCCATAATTTCTTTATCCAGTCTACCGTTGATGGGCATAAATAAATAAATCTTAAAAAATCACTGCTTATTAGAACTGTGGTGGAGTTTGAATTAATGAGGAATTTACATGTAGAGATGTCCTTTAATATTAATGTAGTGAATAATTAGACAAAATAGTATTATATGTTTAAATTTACATGACTACACCATAATGCAATCCATACATTTTCTGTAGTGGTCTATTTCCTGAACATTCTACAACATATTCATTTGGACAGTCATCTGTCTTCTTAGATCTCATGTTATGACGATGCAAGAGAAGGAGACTAATAAAGCAGTGCAGTCTCGATAAAATAAGGGAATCAAATGGGAAGTATGGGTAAGAGATTAAACACCCTTTTCCAAAAACATTAATTATTTTAGAGCAGACTGTAGTGTCAAGGGCTGACTTTGTGTTCTTGCTCTCTCAGTGTCCTGACTACACTGATTCAAGAGTGTCCTTATCACACTGTTGGGTCAAGTGCTCTGCAGGGGCCTCCATCCCACAGGGTCACCTCCTCTAAGTTTCTGCCTGTGTGTTCTGAGGGGCAGCTGGACTCAGGGGCAGCATCAGCAAAGGAAAAAACTGTTTCCCTCAGGTAAATTATTGACTAGCATTTTATTTCCGCTAACTTAACAGCCCTACCACTGAAGCGGATTCTGTGACATCATCAGTTACCGGGCAGTGCTGTACTTTGCTGTGTCCACAGAATCACAGCATTTTCCAACATGGAAATACAGGAAAGATCATAGTGCTTGATTAAACTGAGAGAAACTAAATAATTCCCCAAACTATAATATCAATGTGTGATACAACAAGGACCAGATTAAAATCTTCTGACTTTGATTTATTCTCCTTCCACCTCTTCTCCTAAACACCCTCAGACATACACTTGTGCAAACAGCAACTGAGAGATGAATACTCTTGCAAGGCTCAAACTTGGGACAGAATAGTGACCAGCTCAGGGCTGGCTTCCAATAGAGGCCCAATTAACCTGTTTTGAATGCAACTGGATCAAGCTTTTAAGATACTAAATTAACGCAGTCCTTTTAAGGAAGGAAATGATATTTCAGAAGGGAATGTTCATACTGAAGCTCTGACCAGCAACTGATGATGCTTTTCATCTGTGATGCTGGTTGGTTCTTCACACTGAGACGACCCAATCCAGGCACAGAGAAATGAGTACCTTAGGAGGAGAAGGGTCAGAGGTGTCACTCAGTGAGACTCGCCTGCTCCCCTGGCAGCCACCCCTCCTGCTCTCAGAATGCTGTGTCTGTGGCTCTCCCGAGGCCCCTGCCTGGCAGCTCTGACTGTGACACTGCTGGTGCTGAGCTCTTACCTGGCTTTGGCCAGGGACACCCGATGTAAGTGCATGCTTTGGATACTGGGCTATTATTGGGTGGGGAAGAAGGGAGTTAATTTGTCTCTGAGTCCAGACTTTGTTCCTTAAAAAACTGTGACATTTTCTTCACTGACCACCCATCTTTGTCCTGTAGATGTTCAATATTTCCTGTGAAAGGAGCATGGATGTTTGCCCTCTTTGTGAGATCTGCATAAGGGGCCTCCTGGTCCAGACCATTTCCTCCCAACTCTCCTCCAGTCTAACCCCTCCAGCCACGCACTGTGTTTCCAATCTTGAGCTCCTATCAGAGAACCCCAGCCTCAGGGGTTTAAGCTTTATACTCCTGGATGTTCTCTCTCTCTCCCTCTCCTCCTCCCTTTCTTCCTACCCCTTTTCCTTCTCCTTCTCTTCTGGAGACAAAGCAAAGACCCTTAGTGCTTAGTTATTTTACAGACAAGGAGCAAAATATGAGTTGTTCTTTGGTGCTTTGAAGAACTTAAAGTATCCTCTGAAAGCCTAGCTGAGGTTAGCGTCTACTTGAAGCTTTCTATAAGTTTCTACTACATCTCCTACATTCTCGGACTGGAACCCTCCAAGGGGGAATCAAGTAATTCGGATAAATTATATGAAGTTCCCTTTTTGCAAGTCAAAAATGTAAAAAAAAAAATTCAGGAGTGTCTTAAGTGTCCAACTATACACTGTGAGCAGGGTGTGGAGACAGTGAGAAGGTTGTTAGCATTCAAAGGAGCTGAAATCTGAACTGTGAACACTTCTCACTAGAAGGAGGAGGAAGAGAAGTCTGTAGGAATTCCCACGGGAAGTGGGAGGGATAAATGTATTAATGAGAACAAAAGAGAAGGGGAGCGGGAGCCCCTTCCTGCTTTCCAGGGAAAGCCGTCCAGGATCCTGGTTTGTTCACTGGGGAACGACAGGCCTGCAGCCCTGAGACCGCCAGGTCTGTCTCTACCACAGATGGGACCCAGACTTCAGCACATCTGCAGCAGGCTCTATCCAAGTGCCCCCCCACCCCCACCCCCCACCCCCGGCCCCGCAGAAAATGTTCCAGGCCTTCGCGGTGCCTCTTCTTGTCCCACCTTGAATGTCACTCCTCATCCTTCTCGGTGGCCTCCTGTGGCCCAGGTCAGCGCATTGTTCTCGGTTCCGGACTCCCCACCTGCCCTGACTTGGCTCAGTCCGGTTCACACTCCCGAATGTTTGATCTTTGACCGGAGCTTCTGCCGGGCTTTAGCGTCTCCAGGGGAGGGGCGATTGGGGGAACAAGGTGGGGACTAAGCACAGACCGGGCACGTCGTGGGCACCGAGGGAAGGTCCCAGGAGAGAAAAGGAGGCAGCGGCTGCGGGGGGTGGGCGTTTCAGCAGAGGCCAGACACGTGCGGTGAGAGGCCGGCTGCGGCATCTCAGGCTGAGGCCGCAGCAGCAGGCTGTTTGGGCGGCAGCGCTGTAGCAGCCCTGCTGGGAGGTCCCAGGTGGCGCGGAGGCAGAGGGATCCAGCCTGACAGCTGCGGCTTAGAGGGGCTTCCCGCCCCAGGGGTCTCCTTCCCGCCAAGGCAGAGGAGGGACGCGGGGCAAATAGCACAGGGCGCGGCCGGGCCCCTAAGGGCTGCCCTGGGCTCGCCCCCGCCCAGGGGGAGTCGTCTTCGGTCTCTCCCCAGAGGCAGCCCTTGTGACTGGTCTCTGTGTCTTCGCAGCCCGTTTCCTGGAGCTGGTTAAACATGAGTGTCATTTCTCCAACGGGACGCAGCGGGTGCGGTATATATTCAGAGACGTTTATAACCAGGAAGAGCACGTGCGCTTTGACAGCGATGTGGGCGAGTTCGAAGCAGTGACAGAACTGGGCCGGCCGGACGCCGAGTACTGGAACAGCCAGACGGACATCCTGGAGGACAGGCGGACCGCGGTGGACAGGTACTGCAGACACAACTACGGGGTTCTGGACAGCTTCCTGGTGCAGCGGCGAGGTGAGCGCGGGGCGGGGCCGCGTCCCTGACGGTCAGGGGCGGGAGCGGGGGGGGGGGGGGGGGGGGCGGAGCGGCGGCGACCTCCAGGCACCAAGGACTTTTGAGGCCCATTTTAGGTCTGAATTGCCTGCTATGTTTCCATTGTTTATTTATTTATTTTTGGTGTAGAGTGAGTGTGAAACCGGCTTAGAACTACAATTTAACTTAACATACTGATGTTGAATTTTAATAATGCCAATAGGATTGAATTAGGCGCATATTTTGCTCTGTGCATTTTAACACAATTTTCCTCATATTTCCCTTTGTTACATCTTTAAAAAATATTTCAAATATTGTGTGTGAAAGGGGGTGCGGTTCCAGGAGCCCCGCAGGTGTCCAAATCGGAGGATGAGGGGCCCTGGTGATGGCCCAGGTGAAGCTGCTGCTTATGATGCTGGAGCGCAGGTTCGAGTCCTGGCCACTCCATATCATGTCCAATCCAGCTCCTTGATAATGTGCCTCGAAAGCCTCGGAGAATGCCCCCAAGTGCTTGCGCCACTGCCACCTTCTTGGGTGACCTGGATGGAGCTCCTGGAAGCTGGCTTTGGCCTGACTCTGCCCTGACCCTTCTCTCCATTTTGGGAGCAAGCCAGTGGATGGAAGATTCTCATTCTCTCTCCCTCTCTCCTTCTCTCTCTCTCTCTCCCTCCCTCACTCCTTCCCTCCTTCCCTCTCCCTCCTTCCCTCCTTCCCTCCCTCCTGTCTCTTTCACTCTGCCTTTCAAATAAATAAATAAATGATAAATAAACCAATCTTTTACAAAATCCAATGGTGCTCCACTCCTTTATATGAAATGGGTAGTGTTTCCATGTGACCTGTGCACATCCTGCTCTGGTCTTTAAAGCATCTCAGGTCACTTGGGCTCCTTAACACTGTCAGTGTGATTGCTGTGCCAACCCTTGTCACACGGTGTTGTTTAGGAAATAATGACAAGAGACAGAAGTGTAAGTGTTTAGTACAGCCACTTGTTTTTCCCTCAAATACCTTTGATCTCTCCAGGGCGAGTTTCTCTGATCACGCTTGGGGATCCAGGTAGCACCCTGCACTCTACCCTGTCTCCTGTGTGTATTTTTCCTGTCTGTTTCTTCTGTTTCCAGGTTTCTTGAACATTTTTTCCAATTACTGGTCAGTTGTTACGACTGCTCTAGGAATTACCAATCATCACTTACCCCAGGATTTCCAGAACTTTTCTGGTTTTCTTATGCAGCAACTTTATTAATACTTTGACGAAATTTGATTCTGCATTTTCTCCCATTTACAGTTTATATTATTTAGACTGTGTTTATTAGTTTACATGTTAAGAGTATTTTTATTTAATGAAATATACTGCATAATTGTTCATAATGATTTATCACCAATCGTACATCTATCATTTTGTGTATTATGAAAATATTTCACCCCAGGTTTATATTTTAACAAAAATAGCTTTGTTGAAGTTGCCAGTGTTGGGGATTACCTATGTGTGAGTGGCAGACCCTGCTCTGGCCTCAGATGTCAGGTTAGAAGGAGAGACGACTCTTGGATTAGCTGTGCTCACTTTGTAAAAGAACTGGGTTGTTCAGCTGATCATAAAGAGAGGTTTTTAATGAACAGCCTCTTTTCTCCTTCCCCTCTCCTCTGGACTCCTGCTTGAGGCTGGAGCCTGGGGATGGAGAGGCAGAAAGCAGCCACGAGGGAGGACTGTGCCTGTTTCACTTCTCCCTGTTCCCTCTGCCTCCTAGTTGTGCCGACGGTGACCGTGTACCCTGCAAAGACCCAGCCCCTGCAGCACCACAACCTCCTGGTCTGTGCTGTGAGTGGCTTCTATCCAGGCCACATTGAAGTGCGGTGGTTCCGGAATGGAGAGGAAGAGGAGGCTGGGGTGGTGTCCACGGGCCTGATCCGTAATGGAGACTGGACCTTCCAGACCCTGGTGATGCTTGAGACAGTTCCTCAGAGTGGAGAGGTGTACACGTGCCAGGTGGAGCACCCGAGCGTGACCAGCCCCATCACCGTGGAATGGAGTGAGCAGCTTCCCGACCCATAAAGCCCCCACCCCCCCCTCCAGGAAGGGGACTCTGGCTGTGGCCGAGTGTCAGGCTGCTCTCCCCGCACTGTGTCTGCATCTGCTGCATGAGCACCTCTCCTTCAGCACAGGTCCCTGGGGTAGCCCAGTGCTGGTTTCCACACACACTTCTATCCCCTGGGGAGGTGACCATGCCTGCAGGGAGAGGGAGGTTGTTCCTGTTTTGAACTTTCCCAGCATCACAGGTCATGGTCACCCCCTTGGCTCTGGGCTTCTGTCTGTGCTTCTGAGGCTGGGCTTGTGTTTCCGGTTCTGCTGCTCTGAGTTTCTGGTGGTGATCAGAGAAGAGGAGCAGGCAGGGTTTTCCTGACACGAGGGGAGTCCAGTCTCTGCTCTGCCTGCTATTAGCTCTGCTGTCCTGGCCAAGCCGCTTAACCTCAGTGAGTCCCAGATGCTTCCCACCTCAGCTGTCATTTCAGGCTTGTTCTATTTCAGCAAAGCGAATGCCTGAGCTTGGGGCTCCTCAGTAAGATTTTAAAAATCTTTCTTGCAGGTTGGCTAATCACTGTTGCTCCTCTAGTCCAGGCTTCCTTCCCCCCTCCAAAAGCCCTGCATCTCTGGGTCCTGATTGCAGGGGTCATATGAGATCAGATGTCTAACGCTGGCTTCTTCTTTCAGAGGCACAGTCTGAATCCGCACAGAGCAAGATGCTGAGTGGAGTCGGGGGCTTTGTGCTGGGTCTGCTCTTCCTCGGGCTGGGGCTCTTTGTCTACCGCAGGAATCAGAAAGGTAAGGACCTGTTGCTGTGAGGACTCTCCTAGACCTAGCTGGGGAGAAACAGGGTTTTTCTCAAATTAGTTATTTGTCCATCATTGGCCCTTTGTACTTTTGCATTTGGATCACAGTTTCCTGGAAATCTAGAAACCAGCAATGTGTGGCACTCTGAACAAGGGTCGTGCTTCATAGAAACAAGGACAGGTTAACCAGCACAGAGACTGAGAACCTGGGGCCCAGGACAGCACAGCCACCGGGGCTGCCTGATTGGCACTGCCTTTGTGTGACAGCAGCGTCCCTACCACAGGCTCGCAGATTCTGCTCCTGTCTCTGAACTGCTTTCTGGGGAGGTGGTGGGAGAGAAAGGAGGAAGTATTTGGGGACACATTTGCCTCCACATCTTTATTCACGTATCTTCTCTCTTCCCAGGGCACTCTGGACTTCAGCCCACAGGTAATGCGCCTTTATCCTCTTCTAGAGACAAGTTCAGGTTACCATGAACTGGTAGCAGGGGCAACAAGACATGAGACTGAGCTAATGGCCAATGATCTGGGACCAGACCTCTGCTCTGGCAGTTTGCACTAAGCTTCTCTTGTTATACAAAAGGCTGTGCTCTGTGTTAGCATTAGCTCAGGAGACTTGAGTTTTTTTGTATCTTTCCCACTGCAGTGTGATCCATGCAGCCCTGAGAAAGGGCAAAAGCAGCTGTCTTCAGAGTTGGCTCTGACAACAACCCTGTCCTCTGTCACCTGCAGGGCTCCTGAGCTGAAGCAAGGAAGGCAGCTCTCAGGAAGAACCTGTGTCCCTGATTCTTCACATCAGCAGGTGTTCTGGGTGGCTCTCCCTGTTCCCCAAAGAGTGTGGTTTCTCAGCATCTGGCTCCCTCCTGGTTCAGTGACCCTGAAGAAAGTGTCCTCTCTGGTGGCGTCCTCAGCCCCTGCCCTTGACCTGGTGTCCCAGTGCTGATGGCAGTGCCTTCTCCGTGCTGTTTGTGTGCTCCTTTGCGTTCAGCCCTTCATGCCTCCCCTCTGATCTCACTCGTGGCACATTTTTGATTACATTTTTCTCTAATAAATATGAAATGAATATAATCTGCTTCATACAACTTCATGGACAAGAAACAGAAAAGAGAGGTTTGCATCACCATACGATAAGTGTTCTTTCCTCTATGATAAGTGTCTGAATTAATGCATGTGTTGAATAGCTTGATGTGTGCATTTCACATGTATACATACATATCAACATCACGCAGCTAATTATATGTAGGTACAATTTTTCCTTGTCAGTTAATTAAAAAACAAAAGAAAAGTAAATGAAGTCTAAATGAATGCATAAAAACTGCTACAGGCTGTAGCAATAGAAACATACAACAAAATTATGTAATGGGCACAATGTAGCAAGTAAATAAAAAACTTCTTGGGTATTTGTCTAAAACATTTTGTAACTATAGCTGTAAAACACTACAAAGATCTAAATTCTGTGAGCTTCATTCATATGCTATTATACTGGAGTTGGAGATGTGTATTAGCTTTACTCTAAGTAAAATATGCAAGCCAGCTTTCTTGTGAAGGAAATTTATTCTGGCTTACATTTGGCACTCACAGCTCTGGATCGGGCAGCCCTGTAATCTGGCGTGTAATGGAGGCTGGCAGTGGTGGAGTGGGTGAACCGGGATGATGATCACATGCTGAGGAGGAGTCAGAGAGAGAAGCCAGGAGAACCTTTTCTCCAACAACCAACATTCTAGAGAACCTGCATGAGGAGGAAGTTTGATCAGAAGGGAACAGCTGGGCCTCAAACTGGCACCCTGATGTGGGATGCCAGCATCTCAAGTGGAGACTTAACCCACTGTGCCACAACATACCTATTTAATGAGCATGTTTTGGTAAGAATTCATTGATGATTAAATACACATGTAGAGCAGAGTCCCAAACTAGAACTCCTAACAGTTGAGATTCAATTTAAGAAGTAAGGAGTTTCCAGTTGTTGATATAGTATATTGCAAACTGACACTTTCAGCATAAACATAACCCTGAGAAATAAAAATTAAAATATCAAAAAGTATAAAATAACTGAAACATTTTGTTACCATCATCATTATTGAAATTGTGATTCAAAACAAAAGCCTTTCTAAATAGTGATGCATTGCTGGTGGGGTGGATGATGTCATAACTACGGAAATCCATTTGGCAATTTCATAGACTATCTAGCATAGTTCTGCTGTGGGACTCAGCAGTTGCACTCCTTGAATCACCCAAACAGAGGACAACATGTACTCACAACAATGTGTGTGCAGGTGTTCAGAGCAGCATTAGCATTTGCCTCAAACTGGAAAAAAAAAAAAAAACAAATATCCAGCCACAAATAAGCAGAGAAAGAATAGTTCTACAGCTATGTAGTGGAATAGTATTCATCAATAAAGGAGAAAAATGCTGATGCATGTTATAAAACCGATGAACTTCATCAACATTGCACTCTGTGAAAGATACTGGGCACAAACTATGATGTTATCAGATCCCATTTACATGCAACACCTAGAAAAGGTAAATTTGATCAACACAGAAAGCAGACTAGTGGGTGCATGGGGCTTGTGCTGAGGTAAACATTCATGATACACAGCCACATGCTACAGAAGAAATGTTCTAAAACTATTTTCATGATGGTTGCACAAATTATTAATGTTCAGTTTCTTTCTTTTTTTTTTAACTTTTATTTAGTAGATGTAAATTTCCAAAGTACAGCTTATGGATTACAATGGGCTTCCCCCCCCATTACTTCCCTCCCACCCCCAACCCTCCCCTCTCCCACTCTCTTTCCCCTTCCATTCACATAAGATTCATTTTCAATTCTCTTTATATACAGAAGATCAATTTAGAATATATCAAGTAAATATTTCAACAGTTTGCACCCACACAGAAATACAAAGTGAAAAATTCTGTTTGAGTACTAGTTATAGCATTAAATCACAATGTACAGCACATTAAGGACAGAGATCCCACATGAGGAGTAAGTGCACAGTGACTCCTGTTGTTGACTTAACAAATTGACACTCTTGTTTATAGCATCAGAAATCTCCCTAGGCTCTTGTCATGAGTTGCCAAGGCTATGGAAGCCTTTTGAGTTCGCCGACTCTGATCATATTTAGACAAGGTCATAATCAAAGTGCAAGTTCTCCCTTCAGAGAAAGGAACCTCCTTCTATGATGACCTGTTCTTTCCACTGGGATCTCACTCGCAGAGATCTTTCATTTAGGTCATTTTTTCTTTCCAGAGTGTCTTGGCTTTCCATGCCTGAAATACTCTCATGGGCTTTTTAGCCAGATCCGAATGCCTTAAGGGCTGACTCTGAGGCCAGAGTGCTGTTTAGGGCATCTGCCATTCTATGAGTCTGCTGTGTATCCTGCTTCTCATGTTGGATCATTCTCTCCCTTTTTTATTCTATCAGTTAGTATTACAGAATGCCTTAAGGGCTGATTCTGAGGCCAGAGTGCTGTTTAGGGCATCTGCCATTCTATGAGTCTGCTGTGTATCCTGCTTCTCATGTTGGATCATTCTCTCCCTTTTTTATTCTATTGGTTAGTATTTGCAGACACTATTCTTGTTTATGTGATCCCTTTGACTCTTGGTCCTATCGTTATGATGAATTGTGAACAGCAATTGATCACTTGGACTAGTGAGATGGCATTGGTACATGCCACCTTGATGGGATTGAATTGGAATCCCCTGGGATGTTTCTAACTCTACCATTTGGGGCAAGTCTGATTGAGCATGTCCCAAATTGTTCATCTCTTCCCTCTCTTATTCCCACTCTTATATTTAACAGGGATCACTTTTCAGTTAAGTTTCAACACTTAGGAATAACTGTGTATTAATTACAGAATTCAACCAATAGTATTAAGTAGAACAACCAAGGAAAAAAATACTAAAAGGGATAAAGTATTAAGTTGTTCATCAACAGTCAGGGCAAGGGCTGATCAAGTCAACATTTGTCATAGTGTCCATTTCACTTTAACAGGTTTCCTTTTTGGTGCTCGGTTAGTAGTCACTGATCAGGGAGAACATATGATATTTGTACCCTTTATGGGTAGGCATGCCTACCCATAAAGAGGTTCAGATGATGCTCTCCAATCAATAGCTCTAATTCTGTTACAGCATCATTTACCAGGCAGAGTTTCTCCTTGATGTGTCCACAGAATCATAGCTGCTCCTTTCTTTTTTCCTGGGTCCATCAGAGATTTTTATTTTAAAGATTTTATTTATTTATTTGAGAGGTAGAGTTACAGACAGTGAGAGAGAGAGAGACAGAGAGAAGGGTCTTCCCTTTGCTGGTTCATTCCCCAGATGGCCACAATGGCCGGAGCTGAGCTGATCTGAAGCCAGGAGCCAGGTGCTTCTTCCTGGTCTCCCACATGGGTGCAGTGGCCCAAGGACTTGGGCCATCTTCCACTGCCTTCTCAGGCCATAGCACAGAGCTGGATTGGAAGAGGGGCAGCTGGGACTCAAACTGGTGCTTGTATGAGATGTCAGGCCAGGGATTTAACCCACTGCGACACATTGCCGACCCCATATATAATCTTTTTTTGAAAAAAGATTTATTTATTTATTTGAAAGGTAGATTTACAGAGAGGCAGAGGCAGAGAGAGAGAGAGAGAGAGAGAGAGAGAGAGAGGCCTTCCATCCACTGGTTCACTCCCCAGATGGCCTCATGGTTGGAGCTGTGCTGATCCAAAGCCAGGAGCCAGGAGCTTCCTCCAGGTCTCCCACACAGGTGTAGGGACCCAAGGACTTGGGCCATTTTCTACTGCTTTCCTAGGCATAACAGAGAGCTGGATTGGAAGTAGAGCAGCCAGGAATTAAACTGGCGTCCATATGGGATGTTGGCATTGCAGGCGGCAGCTTTACCCACTACATCATAGCGCCGGTCCCTGTCCATATAATATTTATAATAAGATTACAAATTAAGAAGGAATTCATGGTTACAAAATGTAATGAACTTATGAAATAATTCTTAAGCCAATATGCAGAGAGGAGACAAAAGAGAAATCAAGAGGTCACTGGCTAGAAAGGCTCATCAGGGTGGGGAGGATATTTAATGCCAATCCCCCCATTAGGGATTTCTGGCATGGCTGTCCTTGGGACAGGAAGCTGCAGGAAGGAGCCTTTTTCCCTGTGGCACCTGGACTCCTTTCAAGGCATGAATGGTCAACACTGGGTTTCTACTTGTTTACTAGCTGCATGTGCCTGTGTGATATCAGAGCACTTGATTCAGTTCTATGGTGAGGAAAAGGAGACGCACACAAATGCCAAAGTGACCAAGGAATGGTGGCCTCACTGGAAAAAGCAGCCTGCAAAGCAGTCAAGCTGTCTCACCAGCATCAAGTCACCCATGGACTTAGGGAAAGATTAGGTTACATTCCTGTGTCAGACTGTGTTTCATAAACTCAACTGAGTTCATTTTTAAGCAGTAATAATGTGTATAAGGTTGTAAGCAGATCTCACTCACACTGACAGCCCAAACCGGGGATTATCTTTACTCAGGTGGGTTTTGGACAAGTAAAATCTATTTTTAAAATAGGCATGTCTTTCATAAGATGATTTTAAAACTCATTCCTTGAATGACTTGGTGGCATTCCAAATGGGAAAATCTACACAGAGGAAATATAATGGCTTCTTGAGAGATTGACAAATTAGAAACCATGTAGTAAGGATTTCAGAGTTGGTTCACTGGAAAAGTCTGTGCCCAATGGGACACATACAATGGTACTTCAAAAAGCTCATGGAAAAATGTAATTTTTTACTTTGGTACCAAAGCATTCAAAATCAATATATAGTTTTTTTAATAGTATGCATTTTCTCTTAATTTTCTGATGACTCCTCTCCTATCTCATCTGACTTCCTTGATCTCTAAATACACATTGGACGTACCAGGAGGTGGCCATTGTCTAATCCCAGTGGGACCCTTGGGCAAGGTCACAGCTGCTGATGGATGAAGAAGGATTTCATCTTCCACAGACAGGATTTATACAGAGCAGACAACTCAGTCAAGGGCTGGGAGCCCAGCTCTTTGGACTGGATGTACCAGTGCACCAGATCAGCCAGGCCTTAGAGAACAAAGCATTTCTGTGAAGATACTCTGCTCTTATGAAGTTGTCTACTCCACACTCATTGACTAACATTAAGGAGTTCTTGATATTCAATTCCTACAAAGCGTTGATGTGGTCACTGATAAATACTATTGGAAATCTCCCATTCACAAAGCCCTTTGATGACCTTATCTGTTTGAGGATAAAACCAGGAATTAGACCAACGTTGTGCTGCAGAAGCAGCTGGTAGGGGTTGGAGTAACACAGCCTTTCCATGACTCTGTGGATGGTTGCACCTACCTCTTGAGGATAGGGGTCCCTTCTGTTGAACACTGACATTGGCAGAAAGTGAGCAGAGAACAGAATATTCACCTCCCTTTCTTCTTAAGTGGAAAATGGTCCAGTACTTTCAGAATGAGGTCTGGAAAACACTGGATGAGGACAGGATGTGTGGGCCACAGTCAGCAGTGCTCCACCTCATGGCAGGCTTCTTTCCTGCTCCACTACAGTATCTGTAAATTCCATTTAAGCTGCTGCTCATGGTAGAACAACAGTACTGGGGTACTGTGTGAAAACAACAGCCCTTTCTTGTCCCTCTTTCTTCATTTCTTCAATTTCTTCTTCAATTAAAGCATGGACATTTCCAGTATCCAATAAAAATGTGTGAGAGGCTATATGGGGACCAACTCATCAAGGAGCTTCACCCTGCCTTCTCCTTGTTTGGAAACCCACATCCTGAGGGGGGACCCACCTTCACTCCTGTGGCACTGTGCTTGAATTTTGGAAATTTGGCATTTGGACACAATACTGCCAGTCCACTTTGGAAATGTCCTGGGCTCTCAGTCCAAGAAGAGCCTCAGAAGGAAGTGGTGAACTTCTGTGAGGGTTTCAGGGCCTCTTGTTCAGCATTAATATTACAGTCTTCAGATCCCTTATTTCCAGATGGACTTGGCGTTATGTGCTTTTGGCACATCGGGTTGATTCTGTGTTGGCGGCTGTGGCTGTACCTGGTTGGTGCCCCCATTACTGATGTGCCCTGAAGCTGCCCACAGCTTGCAGGGTCACTGCCATGTTTGGGCTGACTGAAAGCCACAGCATCTTCTGCTATTGAAGTTTTAGAAAGACGAAAGTAGCTTCATTTCAACTGTGAGAAGTTAAGCAATTTCCCCAAATATACAACTCTAAGTTATGGTACAATGAGGAGCAGATTAAAGTCTCTGACGTGGGAAGTCATCTTCCCTCCAGCCCTATACTCTAAACATCTTCACACATATACCTGTCCACACAGCTCTGTCCTTAGTCAGAAGTGATGTCTCCTACAAGGTTCAAATCAGAACAGATCACTGCTGATCACCTCAGAGGAGGCTCACGTCCCACCCTGATGAAAATGCTGCAGCTGTAAGGTTCAAAACTTGACAACACTAAATTTAAAACACACTTCATGTGTTTCTGAACAGGACCTTCACTCTGAATGTCTGGCCAGCAACTGATGGTGCTTTTCATGTCCTATGCTGATTGGCTCTCCAAATTATCATTAGTCAGTACAATCCCTAAGCCATGAGTATCTTGGTTTCTATTATTTGAGATGTGTCTGGGTCAGAGTTGTCCTGGGACTTGCCTGCTCCTCTGGCAGCCAGCCCCTCCTGCTCCCCAGAATGCTGTGTCTGTGGCTCCTCAGAAGCTCCTGCCTGGCGGCTCTGACTGTGACACTGCTTGTTCTGCGCTCTCCTTTGTCTCTGGCCAGGGACACCAGACGTAAGTGCATACACTGGATGCTGGGCCCTTATACCTGATTGGATGGTGGGGGAGGAAGGCAGTTAATTTGCCTCTGTGCTCATGATGTGTTTCTTAAATGATTGTGGTGTGTCCTTCAATGATCACCTATCTTTATCCTATGAGTCCTAAGTTATTTCCCCCATAAAGAACATGGTGCCTCCTCTATCTGTAAGATCGCATAAAGAGACCCTCCCATTGCTCCCAGCTCTCCTCCAGTCTCACCCTCTGACCCTCACCACATTTCCTCAGCTGTGAGTGTTGAAATGGATTCTCCTAAGGTAATTCCCAGGCAGCACTGCCCCTTACTATGAGTGGTGCCCCCAAAAATGTTCTTTTGAATATTTTTTGGGGGACTAAAAAGAATTCGAAGGATCCTACAACAACCAGCTTTAGGTGCTCTGCATGCTCCTTGGAGCTGATGTCACTCCTTCAGATAGGATGTATCACGAGTTGCCCTCTGTCAGCTCCTTCCTTTTCTCCATGTTTATAAAGGGTTTATATAAAAGGTTCTCTGATAGGAGCTGAGGTTAGTGTTTTCTCTAGTGGAAAGCACCTTGCAGCTGGAGCAAAGATCTTGAATGTTTGTGATGACTCAGCAGGTAAGGAGCATCTATGAATGTTCTTTGATGCCTTGTAGAACTTAAAGCATCTTCTGGAATCCTAGTTGAGGTGAGAGCTCTTTACAAATTTATATGAGACTTTCAGTACTGTAATTGTCTAGTATGTCTCCAGATTCTCTGGCTGAAGATCAACAAGAGGGTTTCAACTAATGTAGCATAAATTGTATCAAATTCTGCTTTTGTAAGTCAAAAATAGAACAAATTCAGCAATTTTATCTTGGTCTACACACACACCCATATACAGTGGTACAGAGACAGTGTGAAGGTTGTTAACATCTCCCAGAGCTGAAAGTCAACAAGCAAGTCAGGGGAACTCATTGGCTTTCTGGTCCTACCCCAGATTTCATGATTTTTCATAATGATCTGTTTTTCTCAATGAACCTTGTCCAGTTTCCTCTACCTTCACTTCCTTCCTATTCTGTATCCAGTTGTGTCATTCCCATTACTAAAAATCCCTGATTTCACACAGATTCTCAGTACTCTTGGAAATCCATCAGAGGAGAGGATGTGATGAAAATTTCCCTCTTTCTGAAAATCATCTTTTCCTTACTTGTGAATACTTCTGCCTAGAAGCAGGAGAAAGAGAAAGTTTGTCCCAAGCTGTGCAGGAAGTGGGAGGGATAAAGCATGTTAATGAGAACAAAAGAGAATAAAAGCTTGAGTCCTCTCTTGCTTTTCAGAGTTCCCACAACAAATTCTTTTTTTTCCCTCCACTTTAACAATTTTCTTTTTTTTTTTTTTTTACAGTTATGGACTTGATACATTTCATAATTCCAACTTTCTGAACATGGTGATTCTTCCCACGGTGCCCTCCTTCCCCCCACACTATCACACCCCTCCTCCTCCCTCTCTTATTCCCACTAAAAATTTTTTACTAACATCTATTTTCAATTAACTTTATACACATATGACTAACTATGTAAAGTGAAGAGTTCAATTAATAGTATGAAAAAAAAACACCCAATACTGTTCTTCAATAGTCAAGAGGGCTGTTCAAAGTGATTGCTTCTCAAAGTGTCAATTTCACTTCTATAGATTACATTTTAGGTGCCCTATTGATTATCAGAGGTAAGGGAGAACATACAGTATTTATCCCTTTGGGAATTGCTTATTTCACTAAGTTTGATGTTTTCCAGTTTCATCCATTTTGTTGCAAATGATCAGATTTCAGTTACTTTTTTTTTTACTGCTGTGTAGTATTCCATAGCTTACATATCCCATAATTTCTTTATCCAGTCCTCATTTGATGGGCATTTGAGTTGATTCCATATCTTAGTTATTCTGAATTAAGCTGCAACAAACATGGGGATACTGATAACATTTTCATATGCTGATTTCATTTCCCTTGGGTAAATTCCCAGGAGTGAGATGGCTGGGTCGTATGATAGGTCTACATTCAGATTTCTGAGGTATCTCCATACTGTCTTCCATAGTGGTTTTACCAGTTTACTTTCCCAGCAACAACAGATTAGGGTACCTTTTCACCCACATCCTTGCAGCATTTGTTGTTGGTTGATTTCTGTATGAAAGCCGTTCTAATGGGGTGAACTTCATTGTGGTTTGGATTTGCATTTTCCTGATGTCTAGTGATCCTAAGCATTTTTTTCATGTATCTGTTGGCCATTTGGATTTCCTCTTTAGAAAAATGTCTTTTTCTTGGTGAGATGTGTTTCTTGTAGGCAGCAAATAAAATAAATGAGTTTTTTAAATCCATTCAGCCAGTTTATGCCTTTTAACTGGAGATTGAGACCATTTGCATTCAAGGTGACTATTGATAAGCAACTATTTTGCTTTGCCATTTTTCCATAAATATTCCTATTTTTTATTTTGGATTTCCTATGTGCTTTTTTGGCAGATTTTCTTCCTTTACCTGCTTTTGTAGTGATGACCATGTTTCTGCATTTCTGTGTGTAGCACACCCTTAAGCATCTTAATTAAGGCTGGATGGGTGGTGACAAGTTCTTTGAATTTCTGTTTGTTACAGAAAGTCTTTATTTCACCTTCATTCATAACTGAATGAACTGCAGGGTACAGTATTCTGGGTTGACAGAATGAATGATGCAAGAAATAATTTGAAGTTTATGTTTAGAACTAAAGATTTTATTTGTGTTAAGTTTGAAATAATTTTTTTGGCGTTTAAGTGAAGCTGTTCAAGATTTCAAATGAATACAAGACACTACAGTCCAGTGTAAGACCAGAACGAGAGATATTCCTGAAACTGTGATGTTACCAATTCATGTATAGTGTTAAACTCCAAAAAGATGAAAGAGGTTACATAGGGAGCAGTGTTGTGTTTGGAAAATAAGAATAGGGCCTAGGCCTCCAAAAGGGATTAAGAAGGAGAACTGGAGAAGCTGGAGGAAAACCAGGAGAATATGGTACAGTAGAAAATGTTTATCTGCTTGTTTATACTTTTATTTTTGAAAAACAATGCATAAGAGCATACATCTTTCAGACATCCTGGATTTTGTCTTAGTCCCTTCCCATTTTCTTTTGGATGAGCCTATAGGATTAGCACAGCCAGACAGTCACTTCTGAGTTAGTAACTTTTGAGACTTAGTAGGTTTTCCTACTCTCTCATCAAAGAGGCAGTGGTCAACATTGTTGAACGTTGCTGAGAAAATTAAATGATGGTTGAGAACAAGCAACAGGACTGAAGAATTTTAAGATTACTATTAATTTTTAATTAAGATGGAGACTTGCATAGGAGCTGTGACATAAGGCAGGGAGTTCTTAATGTAGCATTCACAGGGAGTAAATTCTAGGACACCACTGCCAGATTTCCTAATCTCCTCTGTTTGCTTGACTTGTCATGAAACATGTGACCATGGACAAGTCAATTCACCCCTCTCATTTAGTTGCCTCCATTGTTCGAGGATTAAAAGAGATGATGAACAAGGCATTAGATACAGTGCCTCTACACTTACTTCCGTGCAAGCATATCCTTTCTCTTGTAGGCGTCGCGGATGCTGTCTCTAAAAGAGCTCTCCAATCCAACTGCCACATGTTTGCAGCAGGCTGCTTCCCTGGCACTACCTATCGTAATCTCGTACTGGATTATCCCTGCAGCCTCCAATCTCATCCCTTTCCTTCTACATTTTCCTTCATACTTAGGGTACAAAGACAAAAAAATAGCATTCCAGTATATTTTCATACTAACAAAATGGTTGGTGAAGTGTTAGAATAAATATAGAATACAATTTGCTTAAGAAAAATTTCTCACATTAAGTTAACTACTAAGCTAATACACAGCCATGCTTACTACAAGTTATGGTTTGAGGATCTCACATAAGTAGGTTGTTAGGGTCACAGTTATCACTATCATCAAGTAGAGTTAAGAGTCTCACAATTTCAGTGAATGAGATTCACAGAAGTTGCATATTGCCATTCTAAAGACCTTTTCCACTGCCAATACAGTTGTCTAGTAGTGATTCTCACTGTGGGAAACACAGTTTTTTATAGTTCCAAAGTTTGTGTCCATTACGCTAGGCTAACAGTGTACTGTTCCCTTATTCTCACCATATCTTTTGTGGGAATCTTTGCACCTGTGCTCAGTGTTAATTAATTAATGCCACCACTACTATTTTCCTCTCACTTCACTGTCAGTGTTCTGTACTTTATTTTTAATGTCAGCTGCTCCTGATGTATTTATATTATTGGGTTATAATCTCTATCATGTATAGAAGTGCAATATGGTTTTCTTTTCATTAATGATATGGTCGTCTAAATACTCTTTACTAGGTTGTTTGCAAATATGAACACATCTCAAACTATGCCAAGTCTTGTTCAGATTTATTTATTTCTTAGCTTCATAATAAGCTCTATCAACTGATTTCTTACATAGATGTGGATTCTGAAGTCTCTTTAAAGTACAATAAACACAGAGTTCAAAAAAGTGTTTGTACCTACTCTTCATTGGACAAGATTCTTTAGTCATTATATTTTAACATAGATAACATCCTAGGAGGAATTAAAAGCCAAAACTTCACCTTTTATAAGAAATTCAAAATATGGTGTGTATAACAGTTATATAGAGACAATATAAAATTTACAGTTTGCTGTAAATAATTCCACTGTAACAGTGGTTATTGAAGAAATAACAAAATATATCCCTGGTTAGAACCCATATTTTTTTTTTCTTTTTGACAGGCAGAGTTAGACAGTGAGAGAGTAAGACAGAGAGAAAGGTCTTCCTTTTGCCGTTGGTTCACCCCCCCAAGTGGCCGCCACGGCTGGCGTGTTGCTGCTGGCACACTGTGCCGATCCGATGGCAGGAGCCAGGTGCTTCTCCTGGTCTCCCATGGGGTGCAGGGCCCAAGGACTTGGGCCATCCTCCACTGCACTCCCGGGCCACAGCAGAGAGCTGGCCTGGAAGAGGGGCAACTGGGACAGAATCTGGCGCCTCAACCGGGACTAGAACCTGGTGTGCCGTCTCTGCAGGTGGAGGATTAGCCTAGTGAGCTGTGGTGCCGGCCCAGAACCATATGTTTTGATAGTGTCTCAATAGTCATTGCAAATCAATTTTAAATGTTTTGCGTTTAGAGGTATGTTTCTCAAAAAATGTGTTTGTTTAGGCCAAGATTTTCATCAGACACAATGTTTGGGAGATCTTTTCAATATAATTCTCATCTGTTTGTAATTAGTGCTGGTTCCTTTCTCATGCATTCTTTTTCAGGTGGTTTACACCAGTGATTCTCACCAGGGGACAGTTTTGTATCCTACTCCCCACCTTTGCACCCCAAATCCCTCCAACAGGGAACTGTTGGCAAGATGTCAGGTCCACAGTTTCAGGAGTGCTGAGCTGGGCAACACTGGTTTACACTGTGCTGATTCTAAAACTTCTAGATTCTCATGTTAATACAAATACTACACAATTCAGTTCTGCATGGTTTATTTTACCTCATTTCATTATAAAACAGAGTGATATGAAACTACAGTTATAGGAATTCACCACTTTCTTACTGAAGCCACTAGATAAGTGTAAATTCAATACCTTCATTTTAGTTTTTGTAACCCTGTGCAATGTTGTTCAGTTTTTGTGAGTTCTTAGTCATCACCTTAGTCTGTCACCTTTCAATAACTTGCTTTATAAGGCATCAGCAGTGTTGACTGCCACAAATATTTTCAATAAAACGCTTAAAACTCCTGCAGAATTCCCACATGCTGTACTACTGGTCTTGTCAGATGCTTGTGTCACTTTTAACCACAGGATTAATTTTGGCAAACTTATTGGGATCTTTTCTCATATTAACCAAATAAAAAGCAAAAATTTAAAAATATACATTTATGTAATGAATTCATGCACAGAAACACATATGTAAGTATGCTAGCATGAATGGAAACTGGGAACACATGTGATGGATGAGCCCGGACAGCTCTGAGACACATCCTTACCTACACTTCATCTGGTCTAAATTTTCAAAGAATTTGGAATAAAATTTTTAAAAGACCTGGAGACCTTTGCTTTTGAGATTTGGAAATTCATTTAAAGGGCTGCAGACTGTATTAGAATCAGAGTTAGTCTCCTGACGACTTCTCAGTATTTTACCATCACTTGCTGCAAATCTGAAATCCCTACAAGGACCACAGGACTCCTCAGTACGTGGCTAAGGCCGAGTCTCCGTATTCCACCCTCCTGTCACTCTGCAGGGCCCGGCCTTTTCCTGGTTGTGCTCTGCCATTTCTGGTTTCTTGAGGAAGTTCATCGGCCTTCGGACGTCACATTTCCTCTCCCTAAACGTTGCTGCCTTTCACTCACACACACACACACACACACACACACACACACCCCACTCCTAGCTCACTCTAGTCTAACCTTTCGTGTCCCACCTCAGAGGTCGCTCCTCACAGGGTCATCTCGGCGCCTCCCGCGGCCCAGGTCAACGCCATCGTTGTCTGTGCTGGTCTTGCACGCCCCTCACATTGGCATGTGTTTGGCCTTCGTCCACCACGTTTAGTGCACTTTGCTCCGCGAGGGGAGGGGACACGTCCCTTGTTCTCTTCTTGGGGTTCTCGGGGTGGACACAGGCCGGGCACTACGCGGATACTGGTTATTCCCAGGAAGGAGGAGGTGGATGCCTTTCAGGAGAGCCAGAGCCCTGCGGTGAGAGGCGGGCGGTAGCGTCCCCGCTGAGGCAGCAGCAGCGGCCGGTGCAGGTGCAGGCAGCACCAGGGCGAAGGTGGCTGTGGCCCAGCTGGGAGGCCCCAGGCTGCGCAGAGGCGGAGGGTCCTGAAGGCTGCGGCTCAGAGGGGCTTCCAGCAGCAGGGAGCTCCCTCCCTACAAGGCTGAGGAGAGACGCGGGGCGCAGGGCTGGGGGCGCGGTGTGGTGCATCGGCATGTCCTGGGCCCGCTTCCGCCCCGGCGCCCCGACAGGTGACAGGCGGGAGTCACCATCAGTCTCTCCCCGGAGGCCGCCCCTGTGACCGGTCTCTGTGTCCCCGCAGCCCGTTTCATGCAGCAAGTTAAACATGAGTGTCATTTCTCCAACGGGATGCAGCGGGTGCGGTTCCTGGATGGACACTTATACAACCGGGAGGAATACGTGCGCTTCGACAGCGACGTGGGCGAATACAGGGCGGTGACCGAGCTGGGCCGGCTGGACGCCGAGTACTGGAACAGCCAGACGGACAGACTGGACTACAAACGCGGCCAGGTGGACACATACTGCAGATACAACTATGGGGTTGTGGACAGCTTCCTGGTGCAGCGGCGAGGTGAGTCCGGGGGCCTGGGACAGCGACCTCCAGGCACCAAGGACTTCTGAGACCCATTTTAGGTCTGAGTTGCCTGCTATGTTTTCACTGTTTATTTGTCTTTTGGTGTAATATTTTTACGTTGTTGAAATGAGTGTGAAACCGGCTTAGCACTACAATTTACCTTAAAATACTGAGGTTAGTATTTTAATAATGCCAATAGGATTGAATTAGGCGCATATTTTGCTCTGTGCATTTTAACACAATTTACCGCACATTCCTCTTTGTTAAGTAATTTCAGATACATTGGCCTGTGTGTGAGAGGGGGAGCGGTTCCAGGAGCCCCGCAGGTGTCCAGTTGGGAGGATGAGGGGCCCTGGTGGTGGCACAGGTTAAGCTGCTGCTTATGATGCTGGCGCGCAGGTTCCAGTCCTGGGTGCTCCAAGTCTGATCCAGCTCCCTGCTAATGCGTCTTGGAAAGCCTGGAGGATGGCCCAAGTGCTTGGGCCATTGACACCTTCTTGGGTGACCTGGATGGAGATCCTGGAGGCTGGCTTTGGCCTGGCCGTGTGCTGACCCTTCTTCTCATTTGCAGAGTGACCAGTGGATGGAAGAATCTCTCTCTTTCTCTCTCCCACTTTCTCTTTCTTTCCCTGTTTCTACCACATTGCCTTTCAAATAAATAAATAAATAAATAAATGATAAATAAACCATTCTTTTACAAAATCCAATGGTGCTCCACTCCCTTATATGAAATGGGTAGTGTTTCCATGTGACCTATGCACACCCTGCCCTGGTCTTTAAAGCATCTCAGGTCACTTAGGCTCCCTAACACTGGCAGTGTGAATGCTGTGCCAACCCTTGTCACACGGTGTTGTTTAGGAAATAATGACAAGAGACAGAAGTGTAAGTGTTCAGTACAGCACTTGTTTTTCCCTCAAATACCTGATCACGCATGGGGATCTGGTAGCACCCTGCACTCGACCATGTCTCCCGTGTTGTATTTTTCCTGTCTGTTTCTTCTGTTTCTAGGTTTCTTGAACATTTTTCCCAATACTGGCCAGTTGTTATGACTGCTCCAGGAATTATCTATCATCACTGACCTCTGGATTTCCGGAGCTTTTCTGGTTTTCTTGTGCAGAAACTTTATTAATACTTTGATGATACTTGGTCCTGTATTTTCTCCCATTTATGGTTTATATATGACTTTGTTTATTGCTTTACATGTATGAATTTAAATGTTTTTATTTAATGAAATACACTGTAAAGTTGTTCATAATGACATCACCAATAGAAAATCTATCATTTTATGTATTATGAATATGTCCCCCTCCCGGGTTTCTCTTTTTTTATTTTTTTGAGATTTAAAAGCAGAATGTATTAGAGTCAAAGACCTCCAGCTACAGTGTTATGGAGGGGGCTCCAAGAGAGGCAAAAACCCAAAGGGCACAATGGTACTGGGGTTTTTAAGCACAATTTTGCGGAAGAAAAAACATGACATTCAGTTACAAGGTGGGGACCAGGTTTCGCTTTTAACAAAATTCCCTTTGTTGAGGTTGGCAATGTCAAGGATTTGCTGGGTTTTAGGAACACATGTCAGTGAGTGACAGATCCTGCTCTGCCCTCAGATGTCAGCTTACAAAAAGAGACGACTCTTGGATTAGCTGTGCTCATGCTGCAAAGGAGTGGGGTTTGTCAGCTGATCATAGAGAGGTTTTTAATGAACAGCCTCTTTTTTCCTTCCCCTCTCCTCAGGACTCCTGCTCTAGACTGGAGCCTGGGGATGGAGAGGCAGAAAGCAGCCACGAGGGAGAACTGCTGTGCCTGCCTCACTTCTCCCTGCTCCCTCTGCCTCCTAGTTGTGCCGACGGTGACCGTGTACCCTGCAAAGACGCAGCCCCTGCAGCACCACAACCTCCTGGTCTGCGCTGTGAGTGGCTTCTATCCAGGCCACATTGAAGTGCGATGGTTCCGGAATGGAGAGGAAGAGGAGGCTGGGGTGGTGTCCACGGGCCTGATCCGTAATGGAGACTGGACCTTCCAGACCCTGGTGATGCTTGAGACAGTTCCTCAGAGTGGAGAGGTGTACACGTGCCAGGTGGAGCACCCGAGCGTGACCAGCCCCATCACCGTGGAATGGAGTGAGCAGCTTCCCGACCCGTAAAGCCCTCCCCCTCCAGGAAGGGGACTCTGCCTGTGCCCGAGTGTCAGGCTGCTCTCCCCGCACTGTGTCTGCATCTGCTGCATGCGCACCTCTCCTTCAGCACAGGTCCCTGGGGTAGCCCTGTGCGGGTTTCCACACACACTTCTATCCCCTGGGGAGGTGACCATGACTGCAGGGAGAGAGAGGTTGTTCCTGTTTTGAACGTTCCCAACATCACAGGTCATGGTCACCCCCTTGGCTCTGGGCTTCTGTCTCTGCTTCTGAGGCTGGGCTTGTGTTTCCGGTTCTGCTGCTCTGAGTTGCTGGTGGTGATCAGAGAAGAGGAGCAGGCAGGGTTTTCCTGACAGGAGGGGAGTCCAGTCTCTGCTCTGCCTGCCATTAGCTCTGCTGTCCTGGCCAAGCCCCTTAACCTCAGTGAGTCCCAGATGCTTCCCACCTCAGCTGTCATTTCAGGGTTGTGCTATTTCAGTAAGCTGAATGCCTGAGGCTTGGGGCTCCTCAGTAAGATTTTAAAAGTCTTTCTTGCAGGTTGGCTAATCACTGTTGCTCCTCTAGTCCAGGCTTCCTTCCCCCCTCCAAAAGCCCTGCAAATCTGGGTCTCGATTACAGGGGTTGTTGTGGGGTTAGATGTCTAACGCTGGCTTCTTTTCTCAGGGGCACAGTCTGAATCCGCACAAAGCAAGATGCTGAGTGGAGTCGGGGGCTTTGTGCTGGCTCTGCTCTTCCTTGGGCTGGGGTTGTTTGTCTACCGCAGGAATCAGAAAGGTGAGGCCCTGTTACTGTGAGGACTCATAGACTTTCTTAGGAGCAGAAATGGTTTTGCTCAAAATAGTTATTTGTAAGCCATTGGCCCTGAATAAAGTGTTTCTTTTTCCCAGTTGACCACAAATTTCCTAGAAATTCAGAAACCAACAGTCCTTGGTTACTGTGTCAGAGTTTGATGGTTATGCTTCATGGACAGAAGGAAATAGGAAAGGTTAAGCATAGACATTTGTGAGTCAGAAGCCCGAAGCCAGTGAAGGAAGAGCCACTAGGGGTAATTAAATTGCACTGAATTTGGGTAACAGCAGCTTCTTTGGTTTCAGGCTCCCAGTTTCTGCTTCTGTCTTGGTATGCTTGGTGTATAAGACATGGTAGTAGAAAAATCTAAGATGACACATCTTGGGTTGGGGACATCAGGTTTGGGGACATATTTGCCTCCATGGCTTTTAAACATATCGTCTCTCTTTTCCAGGACACTCTAGACAGCAGCCAAGAGGTAATGCTCTTTTTTCCTCTTCTAGAGACCATATAATTTATCATGAACAGGCAGCAGAGATGACAGGAAACTGAAATAAGGGGAAAGACCTTGGAATAAGACCTCTCATCATTTTTAACTAAGGCTTCTCTTCATTTAAAAAAGGGGGAGGGCTTGTGTTCTGTGTTAACATTAGTTTAGGGAGAGTGAAGGTTTTTAGTTTCCCTTCTCACTGTGGCATGATCAATGCAGCCCTGAGCGAGGGCAACAGAAACCATTTTCAGAGTTAGTTCTGATAGAGTAACACTCTTCTCTGTCCCCTGCAGGTCTCCTGAGCTGAAGGGAAGATGGCGTCTCTCAGGGAAGAACTGTCCCTGATTCTTAACACCATGAAGAAGTTGTTCCAAGTGGACTTCATTCTTCTACAAAGAGAGTGATTTCTCAGGACCTGGATCCCTTCTGGTTCAGTGACCTACAGGAAATGTCCTCCCTAGCCCCTGCCTTGGTCAGGGAGTCCCAGTGCTGATGGCAGTGCCTTCTCTGCATTGTTTTGTGTGCTCCTTGTGTTCAACCCTCACTGACTCCCATACATGTGATCTGACCTGTCACACGTTGCTTTATCACAGTTTTTCAAATAAATATGAAATGAAATATCTTCTGCTGCATATAGTTTCACAAGCAAGAAACAGGAAAGAGTGGGTGGATTACATCACTATGCAATAACAGTTTTGTATTCTTACATGATATGTATGTAATGTAATACCTATATTAAATACCTTGATTTCAGCATTCTATATGAATATATATGTCAAAATGTCATATAAATGGATACAGTTTTCCTTGTCAGTTAATTGAAAAAGAGAAAATACAAAATCTAAGAAAGCAATGCATAAAAACTGAAAACAGGCTGTAGCAATTAAAGCAAACAACAAAAGTATGTTATGGGAAACAATGTAGCAAGTAAATAAAATTTTTTGGCCTTTGTCTAAGACATTTTGTGACTATAGTTGTAAAACGCTACATAGGTCTAAATTCTGTGAGCTTCATTTGTAAACTATTTATACAGGAGTTGGAGAGGTGTGTCAGCTTTCTGTTTCAGGGACTTCTTTGGAAGGAAAAAGTTTATTTCAGCTTACAGTTTGGAGGTCACAGTTCTGGAATGCACAGCCCCATAATCTGATGTGTAATGAAGGCTGGCAGAGGTGGAATGGGTGCACAGAGACGATCACCCAGCGAGCAGAAGGCAGAGGGAGAAGCTAGGCAGACATAGGCTGCAGTAAGCAACTATCTTAAGGACCACTTTCAAATGGCAAGTCCCCAATGACCCAAAGTCCTCCCACCAGACCTGTCTTTTGTTATAATTACATCAAATCTCTATCCTTAATCCTTAATTCATCAACCCTTGATGTTAAGACATCAGATAGCAGTTTAAACATCTACATGAGTTTTGGGAATCCAAGTTTTTTTTTTTTTTTTAAGATTTATGTATTTATTTGAAAGGCAGAGTTACAGAGAGAGGGAAAGACAGACAGAAGGAGGTCTTCCATCTGCTGCTTCACTCCCCAGATGGCTGCAATGGCTGGTATGGGCCTGGCTGAAGCCAGGAGCTAGGAACTTCATCTAGATTTCCCATGTGAGTACCAGGGCCCAATAACTTGGGCCATACTCCATTGCACATCAGCAAGGAGCTGTATTAGAAGTGGGCAGCCAGGGGTTGCAGGTGGCAACTTTACTTGCTAGTCCTGGGGATCCAAATTCAATTCAGTCCATAGCTGGCTCCCCAAACTCATGTCGTTGTCATATATAGCATACAGTATTTCCATTCCAGAAGTCCCAAAGTCTTAACTCAGTCCAATATCATTTTTTTAAATTTTAAAGAGTTATATTTATTTATTTGATTGGCAGATTTATTTGAGAGGCAGAGGCAGAGAGAGACAGAGGGAGGTCTTCCATCTGCTGCTTCACTTTCCAAATGGCTCAATGGCCAGAGCTGGGCCAAACTGAAGCCAGGAGCCAGGAGGTTCCTCCAGGTCTCCCACGTGGATGCAGGGGCCAAAGCACTTGGTCCATCCTCCTCTGCTTTCCCTGCTATTCCAAAGTGCCACCCTCCCAACATCAATTTAAAAGTCCATAGTCCAAATTCTCATCTGAGACTCAAAGCAAATTAACTTGGAACCTGTGTAACCAGAACAAGTTATACTCACTTCCAAGATACAGTAGTGTAATGAAAAAGGAAAAAGGTATACATTTTCATTCCAAGGTAGTCAAGGAATTAGGACTAATAGGGGCAAAGCCAGACTGAAAACAAGCAAGGCAAACATTAAGATCTGAAGTTGCAAGTCTAGAGTCCTGGGCACACTGCTTTGGGAGCTGGGATTCCAACTGTTCCAGCAGTACCACCCCTACAGCTTGGCTGGTCCTAGCCCATGTTCTATTCTTACAGGTTAGACTCTCATTTCTACAGCCTATTAGGCACTGGTGTGTAGGGGCTGACTGAGGCAGCTCCAACCCTACCTTTCTGCTTGGCATTACCCTCGTGGAGACTCGTTGCAGTAACCCCACTCTTATGACTCCTGGGAGGCAGGTGATGATAGTTCAAATACTTCAATCTGTTACTCACGTGCAACTCCAAACTGACATCCTGTTTCCTTGTTGAGGTCTGTCCCAGCCAGGGATGTTGTGGGTATTTGGGAAGTGAATCAGTGGACTAAAGATTTCTTTCTGTTTATCTCTGTCTCTGTCTCTTTCAAATAAAATGAGAATAAGTAAAAAGTTAAAAAAAAACAGCACTTAAAGAAATGGTGGATGGGGTAGGAGATAATGGGAGATATATACATATACATATATATAATTATCATCAATTTATCCAGTTATAGCAAAAATTAATAAAAAAGCAAGAAGATTGTTTTTACAACTTAATATACTGACACTGATTTTATGAGAAAAATACATTTTCCAGGTTCTTTTTGAAAAAAAATATGTAAATACCAGCTGTATATTTGGTATTTTTTTTGGATTTTTTTAAACTTTTATTTAATGAATATAAATTTCCAAAGTATGGCTTATGGATTACAATGGCTTCCCCCCCATACCGTCCCTCCCACCTGCAACCCTCCCCTTTCCCACTCCCTCTCCCCTTCCATTCACATGAGGATTCATTTTTGATTCTCTTTATATACAGAAGATCAGTTTAGCATACATTAAGTAAAGATTTCAACAGTTTGCTCCCACACAGAAACATAAAGTGAAAAATAATAGATGATTTTTTAAATGATGATGAAATCAGATCAGACCTATTGTCATGTTTAATCCCAGTGAGAGTCAAGTTGGGAATTGATAATTCTCTCTCTCTCTTTGTGTTTTTTATTACAGAAGATCAGTTAGTATGCAGAAGATCAGTTTAGTATGCATTAAGTAAAGATTTCAACAGTTTGCACCCCCATAGAAACACAAAGTGAAATATACTGTTTGAGTACTCGTTATAGCATTGTCTCAATGTACAGCACATTAAGGACAGAGATCCTACATGAGGAGTAAGTGCACAGTGACTCCTGTTGTTGACTTTACAAATTGACACTCCTGTTTATGGCATCAGTAATCTCCCTATGCACCAGTCATGCGTTTCCAAGGCTATGGAAGCCCCTTGAGTTCTCCGACTCTTATCTTGTTTAGACAAGGTCATAGTCAAAGTGGAAGTTCTCTCCTCCCTTCAGAGAAAGGTACCTCCTTCTTTGAAGACC